TTATTTCTTTCCTGCAACAATTACAAAGTACTAAAAATCATGATTTAAACAAATGAAATAACATACATTCTCAATGTCTATGAATGTCAAGTTTAAAAAATGTTGCTGTTTTCACTTCAAAATATATGACAAATTTTAAAATGATGTCAATTTCACTTGTCAAAATGAAACTTGACACAAAAGAAATGCCAGATTTTAACTTTATGACCCCTGCTCAATGAGGGCCAAAGCCCATATCCAGTGAAGCATAAGCCTTGGATACCACCGGCTCACATGACACTGTGAATTAGGAGCTGCTCACAGAAACTGATGTTGTGGTGTCAATCATGTCTACATACAATGCCTCTCCACATTCTTTTCAGTCAGGATCAAGTCGCTATCAAAACCATATTACCTGTGCTTTTTGTTCCATTTGGTAAACTGTTAATGATTCAGCTCACAGTTATTTCAAAGAGTGAATATTTGCAATCCATCTACTATTTATGTTGAAAATTGCCTTAAAATGTTATCAGTAAAAAATCTAAATAACTACAGATGCAATTTCAATCTGATTTCTCTAACTGCACTTTGCTAACCTAAACAATCACGGCTGAAGATATTTCACTGAGCAAAACACCAACCAAGGCCAAGAGACAAAATATACAAAAATGAAACCATTTTGTTTTGGCACAATATTACTGAAAAATCCACATAGTTATCAAAAAATATCTGAAACTTTATGTTTTTATTCCTGATATCAAACTAGATGGAATCCAATTTAAACAAGAGGAAATTAGCAAAGCTCTGAAACTATTACAGCATGAGAAAGTCATCTAGGGCTGGCTTATCATGTACTGCAATGTACTTTGTGAACAGGCTGTTTATTGGACATGTGGCCTGAGCGCTAATAGCTGCCATCTGCTGGAAGTCGGCTCTGGCTGCTACCTCAGTGTACCAGTATATATCATGTGTATTTCCCCAGTATATATCATGTTTTTTTGTCCAGTATATATCATGTGTATTTGCCCAGTATATATCATGTTTTTTGTCCAGTATATATCATGTGTATTTCTCCAGTATATATCATGTTTTTTGTCCAGTATATATCATATGTATTTCCCCAGTATATATCATGTGTAATTGTCTATTTCTCCAGAATATATCATGTTTGATTCTCCAGAATAAATCATGTGTATTTCCCCAGTATATATCATGTTTTCTTGTCCAGTATATATCATGTGTATTTCCCCAGTATATATCATGTGTAATTGTCTATTTCTCCAGTATATATCATGTCTATTTCCCCCAAATATATGTCTATTTCTCCAGCACATATCATGTATATTTCCCCAGTACATGTACATCATGTCTGTTTCACTAGGAAGGAAATCAACATTTCTTGCCAAATATCACTCGCATAATAATTGCCAAGTCAGTTCCAGTTCAAAGATAGATTTTTCAAATTTATCGCTACTTTAAAATATCATTTGAATGTTTACTGAAGAAATGAGTTTAATGAGAATGTATTGTGTATGCCAAAAATAATAAGTCTCTGCAAAAGCCATAGCATGAAATCAAAATTCATTGAATATATCCCCATGGTAGGTTGGAAGGAAGCAATCTATTTGCACTTAAAGAAACTTCTTCAAAAAGTGACAAGTATCTTCAATTATTTTATTACTTACTTCAGACAACTGTGTTTATCATTCTTTGTTCAAAATTCATTAAAGAAACAGAACAAAAGACTATCAAATTGCAGAAATTTGTTCTACCAAGTAAACACTATGCCCAATGAAACCTTCAATGTAACAAAATCACACACAAAACTTGCTGTTCTTTTGTTTGTTTAAAGAGCGATGTTTCTTTCAAAACTGGCATAAACTAATTGAAGCAGATAATCACACATTGTGCTGGAAAAATCAATTAAATCTTTTTAGAGCCCCACTGTTTCGTGACTAGATTGTGCTTGATATGCTACTTTGATAAAACAGAAAAAAAAACAGAATTTAAATCAAATAGATTATAAAACACAAAAGACACTTTTCAAACAATGTAATAAAGTTTTCTTTTCAAAACTGATTACAGCAAATAACTCTGGATGTCTTTTTCAGATCACTCCATATGAATAAATTATGTAGCAAAGTTATAAACTTGTATTCAAAATTATTTACGAAAATTTGATTCAACATTCTTTTGAGTTTTAGAAGATAAAGAGGGCAGGAAAAATGTCACAAATGACAAGTTCAACCCTACAGGCTAGGACTAAACCACAAACTCAGTAAACACTGAAGGCCACAGTCAGTGGAAAACCAGGGCTGCTTATAAATAGACTGCATTATCGCCAAGCCAAACTCGTTATAACGCAAATTACTCAAATCTTCATCGTAAGTATATCCTCTGGCATGGATATTAATTTCCAATACTTGTTCCATATTCATAAACTGACAATACTAAATTATGTCCACATTTCGTTAAATTTCGCTATGTTTACATCAAATGGTGGTATAACGGGGATATTAAGTCTATGCCTTTTCCATTACAAGTTTTGCCAATGTGAATGATCTTTCTTGTATTCTTAAGTTGTAACATGTAAGTTGAAATACAGCAGATATAGATCCATTAGGGAATCTAATAAAACTACCCAAATCCCAATAATTAAGATTACATTTGAATTCTATCAGTCTGTAGAAACGCAGTTATTTTATTTAAAAGGGAAAAGTGTTTCCAAATAAATTCACTTGATGCTTGAAAAGCTGCTGCACATTCATCGGGAGACAAAATTTAACAAATTCAATATGGCTGCTTCATATCATAGAGAGTGAAATTGATTAGTGGCAAAACTAAAATTAATTGACATAACACAAATAACATCTAAAACTTTACAATAATCTAATAAATGAATCACAAAAGACATAAAACATAAGCTAGTCACCAAAAAAATGAATTATTTCAAAAAAAATTCAAACTGAAATATATTTGTTCAAAACAGTTTTTTGTTATCTTATCTGAGCCAAAATGTAATTATACACAACATCTGTACAAATCTGAATATTTGACAAAAGAAATTAGCCCAAAACTTCCTGCATGTATGAAGTTCAAGGATAGATGCAAAATATAATTTCTAGATAATATACACCAATAAGTGCTATGCAATACTTCTATATATACACCTCGATATAACACCAGTCATTACTCAAATAGTTAAATATGCCCTTTGCTTACATTGATCTTTAAGACTCAACAATATAAGAATGTGACAGTGTAAACATTGACCCTCAGGGATATTCACTCCATTGCAGTATGCTGTGGAGCTGTGATGCCCCAGCAACCTCATTATAACACTAAACATTTCACAAGGAATATTCTTTCAGCATGAATGCCCCATGGAGCATGACTGGAAAATCTGAAATTATTTCACAGGTGTAACTACTGACTTTGAGGAGAAATTCAACCTTTTTGATTACAAGTGCACCTCATTATGTATCTGTTTGGAATCAGCTGTGAATAGACTCAGCTTGCCCGTGACATTACTACAGCACTGTATGAATAATGAGACAGAAGGTTGGGCAAGTTTCCCCATTGTTGGACCCATCCCCCTTTCTCCCCTCAACCTATCCCCCCTTTCTCAACCCCTCAAATTCTCTATTTGATGTTAAAGGAAAACTTTTAGGCTAAAAGGATTTGCAAACGACACCAGCAAGTTTGTTCAACAAACACAACTTTTTCATGTCTAAACAAGGAAATGAAATTGGAAATTGTTGAGAAACGTACTAACAGCAAGGTAATTTCACATGCTACATGCTATATATAGTTAAAACATAACAGGCTCAACATCTTAATGTAATTAGTACAGAAAATAGGCACTTCTTACACAGCTGATAATGACATATTTGCAAAGCTAAAACTAATTGACCTTTGATCCAGTAGAAATTTTTAAAAGCGATGAATTTAAAAACAATTCTTTAAAGAAAATTTCATAACAAGAAAACAAACTAAAAAAAACCCAACATAATTCAATATTGATTTTTCAAAAATACTTCATTCAAATGAAGGAGATCAAACAAATTCTGCAAATTCCCTAAGTCCTGTTTTTTCGTTGTTTCAGCATGAAAGTACAATGACAAGTTTAAGAAACTCATCTTGGGTTCACGTTCATGTTTAGCAAATTCACACCACATGAGAAACATAAACGTTATGACCTGACCTCCCTATTGTTCCACAATACAAATAAATCCCTGTTATTTTCTTACAAAAACCATCAACGGGATATAGATGCATTTTTATCAAGTTTCAAGTCACAAATTAACTTAATCTTCCTTGCAAGCACTAAAGGAATAAAAAAGCGATGCGTTACTATCTTTAGATGTCACTGGGCCCAGGATTATGTTTGTGCTAGATGCTTCAGTAATGGTAGTGATTACATACTGGAGGTTGCCAGCTTGCTTCCCCACTAAGCCATGGTTTGATGGTTGAGCAGATTTACCCAGGGTTACAGGTCAGGCAATATCGCAAACACCAAAGACTCTAAAATACCCCCAAACTTCCCTTTGCTATCTGAAAGTCTGACTGCCACATGTAATTTATTATTTAATGTGTACATAGACATTGATTTTCTGAACTCTTTCAATTTCGACACTTAATGCAATGACGAACTAGCTACATTAAATTACAAAGACAAAAACTGATAGCGTTCTAGTGGAACATGGGTAAACAGTAATCAATAATTCAAGAAATTACATTTTCCTTTCTGAAAATGACATTTGAAGTTCATATAAAACAAACATGATAGTTGGTCAAAATGGTTTGGGAAGATATAGGTCAGTGACATGTATAGTTCCCTGTTAAATAGCTAAATTAACTGAACATAACTGTAAATCAAGTTCATCAACATAAATAATATAACATTATAGTCAAAAACTTGTATATTCACAAAATGTTGATTAAAAATGATAAATAATTACCTTGTTAATTCGTCTTGTAGTCAAATTAAAATAAATTGAAAAAAAAATTAAAATATTTACCTCTCCATGGTAGTCAAGTTTTCCATCAGGTGTATGGTCCGGGAGAAAATACAGTCGAACACTTGTTAACAGTTGGTTACTGTTTTTATCGTGCCAAAGGAGTTGAAGTTCACCAATGCTTACTGGTGCGTCGCGTACAATTTCCACGAAGAAAAATTCCCCCAACGACAAAATTTTAGGTTTTTTGTCCTTAAAATATTTGAAGGCCTTGTAGAAAGTATAAGGTCCATGCTGACCACAGGAGGAGCCAACGAACTGCAAAACAGACATTGTAAATTAAGAAATTCTCACATCTATCGGTATGCTCACAGGGCTGTACGTCAGCCTCAAATCTGAAATCGACACTCGCATCTGGGTCACTCACTCAATAAATACTCGTCGCAACAGAATACATGTTTCATAAATAATTCAACAAGTGTGTTGTAAAATAATTCAACAAATTATTCCTTTCGTGAAAATGAACACTTACCTTCGCGCTGGTAGAATCCATCCCATTAAAAAGTTGATTATCTATGATGATCGCAACATGTACAAGTCCAACAATACAACTTTTATATTTGGCCCCTAATTAGTGACGTCACATCTTTGAAGCCTCGGAATTATCATAATCCATTCCAGGGAATATTGACTGGCGAATAAAGCACTTTCTAGTTTGCACATTCAACAGCAAAATACACATTTCGCTTGATACATATTTCTGTTGTATTCTGGTGTATTTTCTTCCATGTTATGTTTCGCAAACTGGCTTCGCATCTCCGGCTTTGCATCGCACTTGCTAAAAAAAGATTTGCCGGTGTTCGAGCATATTATGCTCCCTGTGAAAGTGGAACAAATAGTTCTATTTCATTTCTGTTTCTCTTCAAAATCAACTGTACCACAGTTTCTGTATATGAATAAGACCAAGCCAAAGTACGATGAAACTAACTTTATTTGTGTGTGTATTTCCCAATATTTTTTAAATTAAATTTGTTATTGCGCTCTACAGCCCAAGGCGGATCTTTTCCGAAGGGGTAATAGAATAACCTAAACACACCACGCGCTTGGCAAAACATGGCGAGAGGCGTGCCGAAGTTTGTTTATGAATTTGCGGAAGTGATTGTGTGTTAAATTTGGGAGGATTTGAGTAAGTAATGGCGTGTCATGCCTATGAAACAGTTTGATGGCCTTAATTATATACACTCGACAACATATATCCAAACTGTTACACCTGATTTTGTATGGAAATTGCACTAAATTTGAACCCACTCTTCTTACTGACAGGTCCATATTTTGATATATACATGTATAAAACGTCAAGATTAGCTCAATTATGACATTTTGTTAATTAAATCGTCATTGAAACAATTCCTGCTTTAGGACTCATGTGTCTTTATGTTCAGTAAGCAGTATACGTTATAAATTATATGTGGTTAATGGTTGTCCGTGCTTAAAACGGATCACATGATCGTGAATCAGCTGTTTATGCAAACATTTATTTTAATTTGAAGTTCGAAACATGCATATAACAGCAAATACGTTTCCCCATGTGAAGTATTGCCTCTTGAAATCTTCATAGGGGAACTGGTCCCCAGTCTATTTTATTTATTTTGAAAGTGTTATTTCTCACTCTCTTCTCACCTTAGGTCACCATGGCAATACATATAAATCAATTTCCTGATATAATGGGTTTTCGGAAATTTGAAAGCATCCATTCCATTGTTTTCTATATAATTCCTTTAACTACTGTAAGTAACTTGAGTCAATTTGACACACCTTACTATAGCTTGAGTAAAAAACTGACATACAAAAACGTATGACTATCGAAAATGTATATGCCAAGATATACAGACCAAATCTTGGCCATATCACAATAAATCAAGGAGGGGGCACACCTGGAAATTCACTGTTTCAGAGAAGCATCCCTTGACTCTGACAGATACCCTTGATTGTACGTTCAAATCCCAGTTTGTGCAGATTATGCTTCAGGTGTTTCAGCAGCATACCCATGCTTGTAGGTTTAAAACCAAATAGGTTAATGTCGAATCTCCTATATTAGCTGACAAGCTGGAATGTAAAAGTGATTACTGTTCCATACTATAAGGGACGGTGGGGTAGCCTAGTTGTTAAAGCGTTCGCTCATCACGACGAAGGCCCGGGTTCGATTCCCCACATGGGTACAGTGTGTGAAGCCAATTTCTTGTGGATGTCCCCCACCATGATATTGCTGGAATATTGCTAAAAGCAGCGTAAAACCCAAGTCACTCACTCACTTAACTATTATTTCATGGTGTATATAATATTCATTGTCATTTTCCTCAGTTTGCTATTCAGAGTTCCAGTATTGCAGTATTGATATTGCTTTTCCTGCAGTGTAAAGAGGTGATCATTGAACACACCCTACAGACTTCCAGACTTATTTTACATGCATATATATATAATGCCGGAATAACCCTTTTGCATACCATCCCAAAGAGAAATGAAACTATGGAGACATGTTTGGTGGTGATAGCGTACCATATTACTCATCAAAGCTTATTTGTTTCTCCCACTCTGTATTCAACATAATGTCAGCCTTTGATTCTCCGGTTTGCATGGATGTCCTTCATGTTTCTCAGTTCTGGAGTATATTCAGTTCTACAAATAGACTGCATTTGTTTAACAGAGGTAATAGCTTGGCACCACAAAACAGAGTTGTCTTCTCTGCTACAAGCAGTTCCCATAATGACTCATTGGTAGGAGCCACTAAAAATACCCAGGTGAACATTGTTTGGGGGAGTACAGTACTCTCAGGTTACTGCTATGCTAAGCTATGAATACATGGTTAAAAAGTGAAATATTAATGCAGTCTTCATTCATGATTTCGTTTTTGACACAGTGTTGTGATGCAAGGTCAAGATGTTAATTTACCATACTGGCATGGGAACAAGGTCAAGATGTTAAGTTACCATACTGGCATGGGAACAAGGTCAAGATGTTAAGTTACCATACTGGCATGGGAACAAGGTCAAGATGTTAATTTACCATACTGGCATGGGAACAAGGTCAAGATGTTAAGTTACCATACTGGCATGGGAACAAGGTCAAGATGTTAAGTTACCATACTGGCATGGGAACAAGGTCAAGATGTTAATTTACCATACTGGCATGGGAAATGTTCTGGCAGTCTATATCTATTTACAGATTGTTATATAATGTAAGAATAGTTTGCTGATGGCTGTGTATATAGATAGAATTCATTCCCTCTATGAGGTGGCAGGGTGTGTTTCAGGGTATTCCGATGACATTTATTGTTGTTCATGGTATCAGTCACTGATTTGGTTGTCCCAGATTTTATTATTTAGTATGCAGCATGGCTGAAAACAGCCACTCACTAATCTTAACACACATCAAAATACATCAAAATACAAACTTGAAGTCCTGATGAAGTTTGAAATGGTTTTTATCTGATCAAAACTTTCCCAATAGAACATTATCATATTTACAAAATAGGGGCTTCTTACCAAGCTCATTTCTTGTCTTATATTGTTTATACAGCAAGACTTTTACTTTCTCCTTCCACATGTAACATTTTGATCAGGAGATGGCAAGGACATGACTGGACAGTGATCAGTGCAGAGGATGTTTATACAGCAAGACTTTTACTTTCTCCTTCCACATGTAACATTTTGATCAGGAGATGGCAAGGACATGACTGGACAGTGATCAGTGCAGAGGATGTTTATACACCAAGACTTTTACTTTCTCCTTCCACATGTAACATTTTGATCAGGAGATGGCAAGGACATGACTGGACAGTGATCAGATGTTTATACAGCAAGACTTTTACTTTCTCCTTCCACATGTAACATTTTGATCAGGAGATGGCAAGGACATGACTGGACAGTGATCAGTGCAGAGGATGTTTATACACCAAGACTTTTACTTTCTCCTTCCACATGTAACATTTTGATCAGGAGATGGCAAGGACATCACTGGACAGAGGTCAGTGCAGAGGATGTTTATACAGCAAGACTTTTACTTTCTCCTTCCACATGTAACATTTTGATCAGGAGATGGCAAGGACATGACTGGACAGTGATCAGTGCAGAGGATGTTTATACAGCAAGACTTTTACTTTCTCCTTCCACATGTAACATTTTGATCAGGAGATGGCAAGGACATGACTGGACAGTGATCAGTGCAGAGGATGTTTATACAGCAAGACTTTTACTTTCTCCTTCCACATGTAACATTTTGATCAGGAGATGGCAAGGACATGACTGGACAGTGATCAGATGTTTATACAGCAAGACTTTTACTTTCTCCTTCCACATGTAACATTTTGATCAGGAGATGGCAAGGACATGACTGGACAGTGATCAGTGCAGAGGATGTTTATACAGCAAGACTTTTACTTTCTCCTTCCACATGTAACATTTTGATCAGGAGATGGCAAGGACATGACTGGACAGTGATCAGTGCAGAGGATGTTTATACAGCAAGACTTTTACTTTCTCCTTCCACATGTAACATTTTGATCAGGAGATGGCAAGGACATCACTGGACAGAGGTCAGTGCAGAGGATGTTTTACACTCGTCATAACACAGTGGTCGTTATGGATGATGTTTGACACAAGGCAGTAGTTGGTACAGGTGATGTTTGACACGAGGCAGTAGTCAGTACAGGTGATGTTTGACACAAGGCAGTAGTCAGTACAGGTGATGTTTGACACAAGGCAGTAGTTGGTAGAGGTGATGTTTGACACAAGGCAGTAGTTGGTACAGGTGATGTTTGACACAAGGCAGTAGTTGGTACAGGTGATGTTTGACACAAGGCAGTAGTCGGTACAGGTGATGTTTGACACAAGGTAGTAGTCAGTACAGGTGATGTTTGACACAAGGCAGTAGTTGGTAGAGGTGATGTTTGACACAAGGCAGTAGTTGGTAGAGGTGATGTTTGACACAAGGCAGTAGTTGGTAGAGGTGATGTTTGACACAAGGCAGTAGTTGGTACAGAAGATGTTTGACACAAGGCAGTAGTCGGTACAGGTGATGTTTGACTCAAGGCAGTAGTTGGTACAGGTGATGTTTGACACAAGGTAGTAGTCAGTACAGGTGATGTTTGACACAAGGCAGTAGTCGGTACAGGTGATGTTTGACACAAGGTAGTAGTCAGTACAGGTGATGTTTGACACAAGGCAGTAGTCGGTACAGGTGATGTTTGACACAAGGTAGTAGTCAGTACAGGTGATGTTTGACACAAGGCAGTAGTCGGTACAGGTGATGTTTGACACAAGGTAGTAGTCGGTACAGGTGATGTTTGACACAAGGCAGTAGTTGGTAGAGGTGATGTTTGACACAAGGCAGTAGTTGGTAGAGGTGATGTTTGACACAAGGCAGTAGTTGGTAGAGGTGATGTTTGACACAAGGCAGTAGTTGGTACAGAAGATGTTTGACACAAGGCAGTAGTCGGTACAGGTGATGTTTGACTCAAGGCAGTAGTTGGTACAGGTGATGTTTGACACAAGGCAGTAGTTGGTACATGTGATGTTTGACACAAGGTAGTAGTCAGTACAGGTGATGTTTGACACAAAGCAGTAGTCGGTACAGGTGATGTTTGACACAAAGCAGTAGTTGGTAGAGGTGATGTTTGACACAAGGCAGTAGTAGGTACATGTGATGTTTGACACAAGGCAGTAGTTGGTAGAGGTGATGTTTGACACAAGGCAGTAGTCGGTACATGTGATGTTTGACACAAGGCAGTAGTTGGTACAGGTGATGTTTGACACAAGGCAGTAGTCGGTACAGGTGATGTTTGACACAAGGCAGTAGTTGGTAGAGGTGATGTTTGACACAAGGCAGTAGTTGGTAGAGGTGATGTTTGACACAAGGTAGTCAGTACAGGTGATGTTTGACTCAAGGCAGTAGTCGGTACATGTGATGTTTGACACAAGGCAGTGGTTGGGTATGGAGGATGTTTGACAGAAGACAGTGGTTGGTATGGAGGATGCTTGACACAAGTCAGTGGTCTGTATGGAGGAGGTTTGACAGAAGACAGTGGTTGGTATGGAGGATGTTTGACACAAGTGAGACGTCCGAAAAGCTGTTTGTCAAATGTTTGACAGCTGTCAAAAGACATTCGTTGGTGCTGAGGATATTTGACAC